TTTCCCACTCCTTTCCCATTCTCCACCCCAATCCCAGCCGAATTCCCAGATTTTCCCATTCCCAACCCAAGGATTTGGGATTTTCCCACTCCTTTCCCATTTTCCACCCAATCCCAGCCGCATTCCCAGATTTTCCCATTCCCAACCCAAGGATTTGGGATTTTCCCACTCCTTTCCCATTTTCCACCCAATCCCAGCTGAATTCCCAGATTTTCCCATTCCCAACCCAGGGATTTGGCATTTTCCCAATGCTTTTCCCACTTTTCCACCCAATCCCAGCCGAATTCCCGTTTTTCCTGGCTCTGGATTGGGGCGGGCTGGGATTTTCGGGATCTCACCGCGCTCGGCCGCGCACGTTCCCGATTTCCCGTCTCCCTCCGGGCCCGGCTCCGGCAGCGCCCGGGCGAAATCCGCCTTCAGCCCGTTGGGAAGCGGCGAATCCCGGGAGGGGCTCCCGCACGGAATTCCCTCGGAGGCGCCGGCCCGGCGCGGCCGCAGTTCGGGAACGGCGCCGGATCCGACGGGAACGGCTCCAAGTCCATCGGGAACCGTCACGGATCCGACGGGAACGGCGCCGGATCCATCGGGAACCGTCACGGATCCGATGGGAACGGCGCCGGATCCATCGGGAATGGCTCCAAGTCCATCGGGAACCGTCATGGATCCACCGGGAACGGCGCCGGATCCATCGGGAACCGTCACGGATCCACCGGGAACGGCGCCGGATCCATCGGGAACGGCGCCGGATCCATCGGGAACCGTCACGGATCCACCGGGAACGGCGCCGGATCCATCGGGAATGGCGCCGGATCCATCGGGAACCGTCACGGAACCACCGGGAACGGCGCCGGATCCGACAGGAACAATCCCGGATCCATCGGGAACAACCCCAGATCCACCGGGAATGGTCCCGGATCCATCGGGAACAATCCCGGATCCATTGGGAACGGCGCCGGATCCAACAGGAACGGTGCCAGATCCACCGGGAACAACTGCAAATCCATCGGGAACAATCCCAGATCCACCAGGAACAATCCCAGATCCACCAGGAACAGCCCCGGATCCGACAGGAACGGTGCCGGATCCATCGGGAACAATCCCAGATCCAACAGGAAGGGCCCCAGATCCATCAGGAATGGCCCCGGATCCGACGGGAACAATTCCGGATCCATTGGGAACGGCGCCCGATCCGACGGGAACAGCACTGGATCCGACGGGAACGGTGCCGGATCCATTGGGAACAACCCCGGATCCAACGGGAACGACTCCAAATCCATCGGGAACAGCCCCAGATCCAACGGGAACGGCACCGGATCCATCGGGAACAGCCCCGGATCCATCAGGAACGGCCCCAGATCCAACGGGAACAGCACCGGATCCATCGGTAACGGCGCCGGATCCATCGGGAATGGCGCCGGATCCATCGGGAACGGTGCCGGATCCATCGGGAATGGCACCGGATCCAACGGGAACGGCTCCAAATCCATCGGGAACAGCCCCAGATCCAACGGGAACAGCGCCGGATCCAACAGGGATTGTCCCAGATCCTTCGGGAACAGCTGTGGATCCATCGGGAACGGAGGTGGATCCGATGGAAACAACCCCGGATCCATCGGGAACGGTGCCGGATCCATCGGGAACTGTCCCAGATCCATCGGGAATGGTGCCGGATCCACAAGGAACGATCCCAGATCCTTCAGGAACGGTCTCAAATCCATCGGGAACGGCTCCAGATCCTTCAGGAATGATCCCAGATCCATCGGGAACGGTCTCAAATCCATCGGGAACGGCTCCGGATCCTTCAGGAGCAGCTCCAGATCCACCAGGAACAGCTCCAGATCCATTGGGAACAACCCCAGATTCCTCGGGAACAACCCCGGATTCCTTGGGAATGGTTCCGGATTCCTCGGGAACAACCCCGGATTCCTTGGGAATGGTTCCGGATTCCTCGGGAACAACCCCGGATTCCTCGGGAACAACCCCGGATTCCTCGGGAACAACCCCGGATTCCTTGGGAACAGTCCCGGATTCCTCGGGAACAACCCCGGATTCCTCGGGAACAACCCCGGATTCCTTGGGAACGGTCCTGGATTCCTCGGGAACGGCCCCGGATCCCTCCGGAACATTCTCCACCCGTGTCACCACGAAGACCTTGCGGCCCCTGCCGGGGCTGGAGACGGAAATCCTGCGCTCGGCATTCCCGGCATTCCCGGAATTCCCGGAATTCCCGGATTCCACAAGCTCCCTCGAGCCCTTCTTCCCATCCTCCTCCTCCTCCTCGGTGTCCGAGCTGGAATCCCCGGCCGGAGCCGCGTTCCCGTTCTCCTCCGGGCCGGCGGAAGCGGCGCCGCCGGGAACGGCGGGATCCTCGGGAATGGCGGGATCCTCGGGAACGGCGGGATCCTCGGGAATGGCGGGATCCTCGGGAATGGCGGGATCCTCGGGAATGGCGGGATCCTCGGGAATTTCGGCGCCGGAGATCTCGGCCATGGAGGCCGAGTGGCGGAGCTGCTGCTCCTGCTCCTCCTTCTCCTTGGCCAGGACGAAATTCCGCTTGCAGCCGTTCTGGATCTCGGCCAGCAGCGCCTTCTGCGTCTCCAGGAAGCTCTTCACCTGCCGGGAAAATCCGGGAATGTCGGCAAAAATCCCGGAAAAATCCCGGGAATATCCCGGGGAACGACGGCGCTTCCAACCCGCGGCACGGTTTTGCGGCGCTGGCCCTTTAAGAGAGGGAGTCGTGGAATTTTTGGGGTTTTTCCCGAAGTTTTGGGGAGGTTGTGGATTTGGGATTGGAGGATGGAGATTCCCGGAATTCCCAGAATTCCTGCTGGGAAATGGGGAAATCCACAGGATGCGGACTCGAAAAAAAATCCCAGTTTTTCACTGCTGGGGAAAGACACCCAAAAAAAATGTGGGAATGCAAAGGATTGGATGCTGGAGATTCCCAAAATTCCTGGAGCTGGGAATTGTCCCCAGAACCGTCAGGGTTTAACTCCTGGGAAAACTTCACAAATCCAAGAAAAAACCTGGAAAAACCCGGAAAACCCACCAGGAACCAACCCCAAAATCCCAAACCCCCAACCCTCAACGCCTCAGGCGCCGGGAACACCCCAAAATCTTGGAATTCCTGGGGGAATTCCAGGAAGTTTTGGGGGAAATTCAGGAATTTTTTTGGAATTTCAGGAATTTTTGGGGGGAATTTTGTGACTTTTTTTTGGAATTCCGTGAATTCTTAGGCTCGTACTTGAATCCCAAACGCCCAACACCTCAGGCGCCGCTTCCTGCTCCGGGAACACCCCAAAATCGTGGAATTTTGGGTGGAATTTCAGGAATTTTGGGGGGAATTCCAGGAATTTTTTTTTTGGAATCGCGTGAATTTTTTTGGGAATTCTGGGAATTCTCAGGTTTGTGCTTGAATCCCAAACCTCTGATGCTTCCGGCGCCGCTTCCCACCGCGGCAACGCCCCAGACCCGCGGGGATTTTTGGGAACCACCAGGATTTTCTTGGGAATTCCAGGAATTTTTGGGAATTCCAGGATTTTTTTTTGGAATCCCGTGAATTTTTTGGGAATTCTGGGAATTCTCAGGTTTGTGCTTGAATCCCAAACCCCCGATGCCTCCGGCGCCGCTTCCCGCCGCGGGAACGCCCCAGACCCGCGGGGATTTTTGGGAACCACCAGGATTTTCTTGGGAATTCCAGGAATTTTTTTGGAATCCCGTGAATTTTTTGTGGAATCCTGTGAATTTTCTGGGAATTCTGGGAATTCTCAGGTTTGTGCTCAAATCCCCAAACCCCGACACCTCCGGCGCCGCTTCCCGCCGCGGCAACGCCCCAGAACCACGGGGATTTTTGGGAACCACCAGGATTTTCTTGGGAATTCCAGGAATTTTTGGGAATTCCAGGATTTTTTGGGGAATTCTGGAAATTTTCAGGAATTCCAGGCCAAAAAACCTCTTCCTTGAGCTCCTGCTTGAATCCCCAAACCCCGACACCTCTGGCGCCGCTTCCCGCCGCGGCAACGCCCCAGACCCGCGGGGATTTTTGGCAACCGCTGGGATTTTTTTGGGAATTCCGGGGATTTTTTGGGAATTGCGGACGCACCGCCTCCTTCTTGGGCTCGCGGTCGAGGTCGAGGCGCAGCAGGGAGTGGTTGACGCGCAGGGCCAGGCTCAGCGCCATCAGCCCCCCGGTCTTGATGTCGTTCTCGCGCAGGTCCAGGCGCAGCAGGCGCGGGCTCTCGGCCACAAACTCGGCCACCGCCACCGCCCCTGCCCGAAAAACGGGAATTTGGGGGGG